AAATGTTTTTCCTATCTGTCTGAAACTGATTATACATACCTATATTTTTCTAATTTCAAAATATGTGTGACAACACTTATGCTCAACATGGAACTATTATAATTGGGATATACTTAGAATAATAAAATATTTATATTTATAAATATAAAATAATTATAATAATAAACATTTTATATGAACAGTTGTATCAATCGCACTGATCGGTAATATAATATTATTATACGTAGGTATACGGTTTACGTCGACAACAATGTGATTTAGCTATAATTATAGTAAAACAAGAATCCAAAATACTATTGAAAAGTATAGATTCTTTATTATTCTATTCAATAATGTCATACGAAAATACCGTAAATAAACGGCTTTTTCCTAAAATTAATTTCGAAAGTTATAAATTTTAACGGTAAGGTAAAAAACGGGATTAATAGGATAGATTTGAAAATACGGGACAAATAGCGTCCCGAAAGAAGATTATCAAGACAACAGGAATTAAAGTTGAAATAAAGGACAATCCTGTATAAACAGAATATATGGTCACTCTAATATAGAGACAATATGAAATAATTTACATATGACATTGAAAATCAAGAAAAATAATCTTATATTACTGTTTTGTATAGTCATCTCAATGTTTTAACTTTTGATATAGACACAAAAACTGTGCAGTGAGATGAGTAGAATATCCAAATATCATAATTGATAACAAATAACATAAATAGGTTAATTGTTTAAGATATTTAGACAAATTACTATTTATGAATTATGTGCCAACCAAACTATGATTTTCATTAGCAATTAGATTTATTAAAATTATTGTATGCAACTAAAAGTTAGTATAAAACAATAGAAATTTATAAACAAATAATTACCTTCAAATATGAAGGCGCTGTTCTTTTTGTTGCTTCCACGCCAACTGTTCATGAGGTGGTTGGTGGTGGATAATCACATTGTTGATCTTCATTAATCATGTCACTTGGTGATGTATATAGAAAATATAAGTCTCACAGG